GTTTGATGCAAGTTTGCACCAACATGACTCCACCGCTTCTAGCCTTATAGACACGCCAGCTTTTCCCATTCTCTGCATTGCATGAGGTTATAAGAGACCACTCATTGACTATCGCTCTTACAAAAGTGCAAAGTCCTGGTTGGTAGAGTAAGCTCCTGCCGTCGGTGAATGCTAGAAATTTCTCGTTAGTGGCTTGTCAGATTTAAGTGCACTCCACATCAATAAAGCCCAAGTCCAATGCGTTGTACGTGCATAATAGAGAACCAGTTCCTTGGGACAACTTCTACCAGCAATGATCAAGTTTTATTTGGGCGCCTGATGAAGGTCTGATAGTGCTCCCAAAACAAACAACAATGCATGTACGAAAGGATGTATGGTTATGTTGGAAATGATCCTTGATTGTGAAAATTCGATAATGAGCCGCAAATATTATCTCCCCACTCCTCTGTGTAAAAAAATCAACACCGCTCGCAAATGTTTACTACACACCAATCACCGTTGGGTGTAGCCCTGGAACGCCCACGCCAAAATCTGTAGCATTTGGATTATGATCTCCAATCAACGCCTATACCATCTGCCTCCCTGTCTGCTATGGTATCGTCTAATCGCATATCGCGCTTCTTCCGATTGAGCAGATCGAGTAATTGAGGTCATCCGAATCGAGCCGTGTACGAGTAAAAGGTAATATGGCTGATTTGACTTATTAACCGTTCAAAGCGGCCTTTTTCGCATCTCTCTCGGCAGGATTGTATCTAACGAATCGGTCAGTAAATGAGGAAGCAAGTATTTATCTGACATATAAGTGCTACTCTTCGCTTCTTTGTTCGTCTGGCACAATAATGGGAGTGATATTTCGTACCTAAGAAGTTTCTCGATGAGGTCGACATGGGTCATGATCATGCGACGGCAGCAATATCTCTTCAATGTGAGCTCATCCATAGCATCACTATAACAATGTGTGAGTATTGTGAAGCAATAAGAACAGTGTGCAGTGCGGTTCTCTTACCCGTCGTTGACTCCCTCGTCAATGAGCTTGACATATCGCTCCCAGATGTCTCCGGTAACCTGTTCTAACGGTTAGCGCACGACTCTCGCGCGAATGCTTGATGTAGTTTACCTTTCCGCAAGAGAAACAACGAACTGGAATGATCATTTTGATGTGTATAGGTGTAGATGTGAATATCTGCGATGATGTTGTGTTTCTAGGATTTAAATTGAAGTTCTGCGCGTGAGTTGATACCAAGAACTTTTTTCTTTATCGCCGGAACAACTCTCGGTAGATCTTCGGTTATCAAATAAAAAATAAAAAACGTTCAGAGCTTCTGCCTCATATTTGCCAATCCGAACCTCGAACTCTTTTTGACTTTCAAGAATTTTTGACAGCACAATGGCTTCCATATTGAAGCGCAAAAGAGTTCAAACAGAGGTAGCAGATATTCCAAAGAGGTCTAAACCTACCTCAGAATCTGCGGATACTTCTACCAAATTTGTTCAGAGCAACGGCGGGTTTGATATTTTTGAAGCGCTGGGAAAGGGAAAAGAATTGGCCCAGGTCAATGGCGCGCACGCCAAAGATGAATTAGATTCAACAGAAGTTATCGATTTTGAGGATCTGTTTGAAGATGTGCCATTACAATCTACGGACTCACAGGCAAAACGAGGCATGAAGCCGAAGAAGGAAATTTGGGAAAAGAAAATTCCACAGGCCCCCAAGCCAGTGAAAGATCAAAGCTGGAATATTTCTGAACCTGTTGGTGGGCGTATGATCGATGCCGATCCTATTTTTACAGAAGACGAGAAGTATGACATCGATTTCTCCTTGCGACGAGCTCAATGGCTAACTGAAACCAAGATATATGATCTTAGCAACCCGTATGAGCCTCCTCATCTACTCAACCTCCGATTCTCTCCTCACCCGAACGATAAAATTCGACCATTCGAAACATCCTTTCGCTCATGTTGTCGCATACGAGCTCTCGCCGACTGATTCTAATATCGTTTGGGCAGCCCTGTCTGATGGAGCGATATACCGACTGGACTGGACTTTGGGAACTGGCAACGATCAATCCTGGAAGATTTCGTCTACCGGGTGCATACATATGACTGTCGCTTCTATGGTATCCGCTGGGCGACGAAGAGATGTGGTATTTACAACCGAACCCAAGAAGGATGGCGGCTGGCGAATTACCGCGAATGAATTGACTCAGCCTGGTTCGCCAATACAAACAGTCGCAAGAACCATATATACTTCAACAAACCCAATCAACTATCTAAAAACTGCCAATGGAGGCTCTGTACTGCTCGCGGCTTCTGGAAAGAGCATCTTACTTGGTTATGTTCGGAACTTGGATTTTGATACTACTGACAAGATCAAGTACGTATTCCGTATGTTTGATTCGACTGCTCCTATAATGTCTTTGGATGCACGAGTATATCCTAGAACAGGTACCGATGACAGGAACATATCAAAGAAGATACCAGTTGTTGATGTAGTGGTTGGTGATGCGAAAGGATTCATCTTCATACATCGTGATTTGCTAGGCAATCTCATACAGTCAGAAAATAAAAACTACGCATCCATGATCAACCTTGTGCCGACAAGATTACATTGGCACAGAAGGGGTGTCCAGACCGTCAAGTGGTCTCTGGATGGTATGTATATCTTTCGCGCTTCACTCTCTAGCAACACCCGAGCTGACCCGATAATAGGAAACTACATTATATCAGGAGGTAGCGAAACAGTCCTCGTGCTTTGGCAATTAGATACCGGAAAGACGCAGTTCTTACCTCACATGACATCTACTATTCTCAATGTGGTCGTATCTCCTTCTGGGTCCTCGTATGGTATTCAGCTTGCTGACAATTCTGCGATGGTATTGTCTACAGCCGAGTTGGAACCAACGGCAAATTTTGCTGGCATCCAATCCAGCGTCACCCAATACGCCGAACCCCGAGCAGATGAAGTGCAGAGAGCAAAATCCCATTTCTATAAATTTCATGTTGTCCAGCGGACACCTGCTGTTATCAGTTCTGCAAACCCTTCTCATCTATTCCTTGGCGTTGGACAGACTCCAGAAGTGCCATTTTACGAAGCTCCTGTGAGAAACTGTTCATTTTTACAGACCTATGACCTTAGTGCTGGACATAATGTATCAAAGCAAGCTCTTGCAAGGACAAATGTCACCAGTATTAACGAGACACCAAACGCACTTCCGGTGTCGGAACCCAGAGTCACTCATATTCAGAAGTCTCACGATGGCCTTTGGCTAGCTACTGTTGATGAGTGGACGCCATCTCACGCCGACCTCGATTTCGTAACTCACCAGGCTACAAACCCATTTGCTGAATTGAAGCTGAGGCGCGAAATTTGTCTGAAGTTCTGGCAGTGGAAAGAAGCAGAGCAGACATGGGAATTGGTATCGCGAATCAATACTCCACATATGGCAAGTGATGCCGCACCTGGAGCCGGTCAAATCCTGGGTCTCGCCTCAGATCCCAGCTCCTTGAGATTTTCTACAATAGGAGAAGACAGCGTGGTGCGAACATGGGTTCCAAAAACTCGAAAAAGAGATGGCATTGTAGTCAAGGATGGAAAAGGCAACGCTCTCAAAAACTGGCACTGCCAGCATGAAATCCAACTCGAAAAGTCAGAGCTTACCGATGACTACTTGCGTAGTACGCCATATAATGGTGCTATAGCGTTCGCGGATGATGGCTCAATTCTAGCTGCTGCATTTGGTAAAAACGGAATAGTTCACATGATCGATCCCGAACAAGGCTCTGTCACAGCCTCACAGCAAGGCCTATTTGAAGGTAGTATCGTGGCCATGGAGATCTTAGGCAGAGATCTCATAACTCTGTCCGATTCGATTCGTGTACATGATTTGGTTTCGGATCAATTGAGGTATAGCTTAAAGCTATACAGATCTATCACACGCATGCATATTATACAAAAAATTGAGATGATGCATTTAGCCATCAATCGAAACAGTCGCACATTCGCAGTCGCTATTCCAATGAGACTTACCCCTCCATCAGCAGAGGAGCTCAGAGAACAAACTTTCCCGCCAACGTATTCTGGGTTCGCCGTCTTCAGCCAGGAAAGTCAAGTGCCACTGTTGACCGAGTGCTTCGAGACTGCTGTCTCTGCTATTGTACCCACTGAGGATTCGGAAGGATTCTTGGTCCTCAATGGAGCTGCTGAAGTCCGAAATGTGATGAAGAAGGGCACTCAACCAATGACCGCTTTGGCCCAATCAACTACTGAGCTCAAATTGGATGCGATTGCAGATGAGCCAACTGGCGATCTGTTACAAATGATTGAGGATGTTGAGGATGAGCCGGAAGAGGCTGAACCTTTATCGCCTGCAGTCATTGAGGATGATGATGATACACCTGTTGTGACACAACAAGCACTTTCGGGTGTATTTGATATTGGGCCAGCATTTGCATTGCCACCCTTGGAGGAGATGTTCTATCAAGTGGCAGGATTATTTTCTAGTAAACCTTTGGAAAAGATGGTGTAATGAATTTTAATGGTTTCTGTACTTTAAGTTGGCATAGCGAGGGCGGTTTATAAAACCTTGAGCGTTAGGGAGCTTTGTATATGGCTGTACAGAGCTTAAAAGTATTTATACCTTGCAGACTTTGGCTAGTTTTTTCCTTGACTTGGAATAAAATGTTAATATTACTTATCGATGTGCTTCATGAATTTTTCCTTTGTGAGGAGACCCTTCAGCGGTTACATATCTCATTTATCTAAGGGTCGTTTCATGCGGATCGCGCCAGATAACGAAATCTCCCCGCACCCCACTTCCCATCTAGGATTCATGGATTTGTTCACTAAGCACTGCTTGGAGTAACATCACATCATGTTACTAGCATATTCGTAATTCTGTGAATTACAATTTCCATATCAATCTCATAATACAAAAGTTTCCTTCTATATAATACAACTTTCAATACCTGGCACTGTGCAAAGAAAACCACTACCATACATAATGTCCTTCACCAACATCCCAATACTCGACCTCTCTCTCGCCAGATCCCCAGAAACTAAGTCCGAGTTCCTGGATCAACTGCGCCATGCATTACTCGAAGTGGGATTTCTATATCTGAAGAACGTTGGGATAACCCAGGAACTAATAGATAATGTTATCGAGGAAGGGGTCAAGTTCTTTGATATTCCTCTGGAGGAAAAGTAGGTTCTCTCTGCTCACTTCTCACATCTCATTTCACCAATATACTTGCATAAACACCCAATAGGTATGCCAAACCTCCAATCTAACTTCATCCAGGACCAAAATCCAAATGGTCAACGCGCCCTCTTTCCTAGGCTACTCCCCCCTCTCTGCCGAAATCACCGCCCACGCGATCGATCAGCGCGAACAAATCGATCTCTCCACTCCCCATCCTATCCCTACTGCCTCTGATCCCCTCCACTACAATCTTCTCGCTCCCAATCTCTGGCCCTCGCCCACCTATCTCCCTAATTTCCGCCCCGTTTTCGAATCTTACATCAAACAAATGGGTGATATATCCATATTCTTCACCAGTTTGATTGCAGAAGCTATTGGACTCTCCGCAAATGCATTTGAGCGATATTTTGATACCGATCAACAGCATAAATTAAAAGTGGTTAAATATCCGGATTTGAAGGAATTGGGTCTGCGGCCCGAACAAGAGGGTCAGGGAGTAGGTCCACACAAGGATTCCATGTTGACGTCGTATTTATTGCAGGTTGGGGATAAGAAGGGGCTACAGGTGCAGAATTTGAGGGGGGAGTGGATTGATTGTCCGCCGATTGAAGGAACGTTGGTGGTGGCTATTGGACAGGGAATGGAGGCGCTGACGAAGGGGGTTTGTATGAGTACTACGCATAGGGTTTTGAGCCCGCAGTATGGAGGGGGGCCGAGATATAGTGTGCCGTTTTTTCAGGGGGTGAGGGGAAGTACGAGGTTTGAGGAGTTGAATGAGGTGGGGATTGGGGAGGTCAAGGAGGAGGTTAGGCAGATGAGGAGAAAGGTTTTGGAGAGTGTCGGGGGTAGGTTGGATGATGTTGAGTTTACTTTTAGAGGGGGCGGAAAGGCGGATACGCTAGGGGAGGCGACGTTAAGAAATAGGATTAAGAGCCATGTGGATGTAGGAGAAAAGTGGTATCCAGAAATTCTTGCGGATATAAGAGCAGAGCAAGAAGCGGAACGCAGACAAAAGGGTTTACCCGTTACTCCACCCGCGGAAACATGAGGCAGAGATTCATTGTCTCAAATAAATTCAATAGTCCAAAGGAATCCAACTAAGTCAAGCCCCTTTTCGTTGTTGTATGGCGATCCGAACTACCTGACTAGTCCCGATCCATTACTTATCATGCGAAGTAAAACACACATTTGTAGATAAGAAACAGATTGTTCTGGTTCAAATAGCTAGTCTGCTGGCTTGTGAATAAACGCCATTGTATCTCCCGCCCATGCGCCAATCGCTTGTTCTTCTTTCGCAAATTGATGTCAATCCTCTGATCATCGAAACCCAAAATTTTCCTCTACCACATCTGTCCAACCGTAAAATATCGTGTCTTCGTCATTGCGTCGTACGAAATCGTAAGATGAGTCGCACAAAGAAGTGTCGAGGATTCATTTCTTGCCAACTAATGCAGCCTGCTGAGCCATAAACGCTGGGAAGCAGAGTTCCGGTCCTTTTGAGTGCTTGTTCATGGCGTGTTCAGTGAGACTGGTGATGGGATATTAGTTTCGGTATGGTTTGAATTTGGCTTGATGCTTCAAGAAAGAAAACGACTGCAGGCCTCCCAAAATTCCTTGCATCCTTTTTTTCCTCTTTCTCTTCCTGCAGGATTCTTCCCGTCCCGACGCATAATTCCCAGAATACCCGCATCTTTTCTTTCAAGACTGACGACTGTGCGAAATGGCAAATGTAAATCGCAAACGAAGAAATAAAATACTCACGCAGGAAGTCTAGTGGTCTTCAAGAAAGTGGTTTTGCAAACCTCGCATTGAATATCCTTTGCTGACTCGTTGACCTTCAGTTGCGACTTTGCGACACCCTTCTCAGCATCTTTTTGATTGCGTGCACGCTTGGAAGCTGCTTTTGCGCCCTGTGAAGAGGTCAGGTCTCCAGTATTTAGAATGCGACGATCATAGTTCGTGGTTGAAAACCGGGTTGAGAGACCCTAAGGTGGAGAATTTCCCTGGCCTTGATTGACCGGACAAGAAAAAAGGGTTATGGAGTTTAAAGGGGAAATAAGGGTAAGAGAGTTTAAACCTACATTACCTCCTCCCATTTTGAGAGATGTTTTGATTGATTTAAGAAGTTATTAAATGGTGTATATGTATGTATGAATGATGGAAGACAATCCAAGACTCTCTTGATTACTTGAAGACGAAGAAGAAGAAGAAGTTTGGGTTGGGGGGAAGAGAAGAGAAGAGGAGAAAAGTAAGAAGTTCTGGAACTTTTAATGCGTGTACCAATGATTTTTTTTTTGCTTACGGAGTCCGATAAGATAGGTGTACGGAGTAGAGAGTACTAGGTAGATTTGATCTTGTCTCATGTGCTTATTATTACTATTATTGTTTACTTTACAAATTATCAAAATAATCAATAAATTTAATTTAATTCGCTTAACTACGGTATATATTATAAATTAGCGCCATTTGAGTAATAAGCTAATAATCTCATATTTTATCTAAGCCCAAAACAGCATTAACATTTCACCTAGTTTCCATAACATAAATTCACGTCGCGTCGCGCATTCCCTCCTCCTCCTCGTCTCTTCTCTTCTTATTCTACTTTTATTTATTTCTCAAAATAAAAACTTCCATCAAAACCATCAATATAATTTAGAAATTCCTCTTGAATGCTTCGTTCTATTTCAAATTCTCTCAATCCTCTATTCGGAAGTCCAAGAAAATCGACAGTTGAAGATCGTTTTGAGGGAGAGAAAGATCAAGAATTCACCATGTCTTCACCAAATGATATTACTCTTGCTGAGTTTAACCAAACGTTGGCAAGATATCCTGCGCTGCTCAATAAATATGCAAAAGACAGTAAGTTCATTCTTTCCTTGATCATTCGCGAAAGATTTCGTTGTTAATTTAATATTCGATTTAGCAAAAGAAGGTGTTACTCCTCTCCAAGAGCTCGATAGATTCAGATATGTTGAGGCGCCAGCAAAGTTTAAGGATGGTTCAAACACTTTCTCTATTGAAGATATCACGAAGTTGGTTGATTGGAAACTGTAAGTTTATTCCATCCCCATGATTTGCTTTATTTTCATTTGTTTTCTTTTTTCGCGTTATTTTGTTTGTCGATTGGTAGGTGGAGAAGAGGCCGCGTTTTGTCTGAAGCTCGGCTTTCCGGAGGTCTTTCACTTTCCCACCCTCATCGCAAAAAATTAAGAAAAAATATTTCGTCTTATTTTTATTATTTCTTCGTCTCTAAAGTTACTATGGAATGTCATTTAAAATTATTTCGATGCTAATTTTCGATTTAGTCGACATGGTGCCTACCGTCCAGGTTTCCTGAAGAAGGTTGCCAAGAACACAGATGAGATTGTCGAGGCTGCTACTAAGGATGCTTTTGACTACTACAAGGCCAACCCAACGGATATTGGCGTTGTCATCAACAAGCTCAAGGATCCGTTGATGGGAATTGGACCGGCCACTGCCTCCCTCATCCTCTCTGTCCGTTATCCCGATCATGTGACATTCTTCAGTGATGAATGCTTCAAATGGCTCGTCAATGATGGAGAACATAAACCAACACCAAAATACAACGTTGCCGAGTTTGAGAAAATACACGCCGCCGCTAAATCTTTGGCCACTCGTCTCCGTGTCAATCCTCTTCAAATTGAGAAGGTTGCTTTCGTCATTATCAAGGAAACTGAGCCAGTTCTCGTCCCAAGGGAGAAGCCCACCCCCAGTGGCCGTGGCCGAGGTCGTCCAGCCAAGCCTGATAGTGAGAAGAAGATCAAGGTTCCTTCCGGGCGCGGACGCGGTCGACCTTCCAGTGGTATCGTCAAGCCTAAACCTACACCAAGAGTTCCAAAACCTCCCAAGGAGCCAAAAGCCCCAAAAGAACCTAAAGCACCAAAAGAGCCCAAGCCTGCCAAAGAACCCAAAGCTGCTAAGACTCCTAAGTCCCCAAAGGCAAAGGCTGTCGTTGAGAAGAAAACTCCAGGAAAGAGAGGAAGACCCGCAAAGGCGCCTGCTGCCGAGGTTGATGTTGCCGAAAAGCCTGCTGCTACACCAAGCTCGGGTAAGAAGAGAGGAAGACCCGCCAAAGAACAAACCAGCGATACTCCAGCATCTGCTACCCCTGCTAGCAAGAAGAGAAAGGCATCTGATGATGCTGGTACACCAAGCTCTGCTGGTCGTGGTCGCCCCAAGAAGGTCAAGGCTTGATTTGATTCACTTCCGTGGAGTATGAGTGTTCAGTAGGAGATTTTGTGGTACCGACCAGCGACTTCTTCGAGAATACGTGTCTTTGTGGGTGTTTTTCCCAGGCCCTTCAGTAGGCTTTGCATTACTATTTCTTCTTTGCCAAAATTGACATATGGAACAGTAATAGCGTTGGGTTTCGCGCTTAGCTTTTGATTTTTGCTTACCATGGGCGTTGATATGGAGATATGAACGGGATGGATGGGATGGATAAATTTGTTCTGTTTTCTCTTTGGCTCGGATTTGTATGATAACACAATATGGAAAGAACATCAGTTGTGCAACAATTAAATGTTTTATAACTTCGTTTTTGTTTGATTTGAACCGTAGAATGCGTGTATATGCCGGGCTGATTCGATGCGAGTGAAACTATGGCATATCGAGTTCGGAAATTGATATCTACAGCTCAGATGCCGTGTTTATATATTTTACTCGGAGCTCAGTCTCTGCAAACATGAACACATATCATCGTGTTCCTAAACAACAAAGGAGGGGGTTCCTATGTGATATTTAAGACACTAGCAGCGGCATACAACATAGGCACAAGTCCAAGGTTTATCTCGACGAATACAATTTATTGGCTTTACTAGAGATTGCTGGTCCATCCTCTTTCCATGTAAGCACAAAATAGCCCAATGACCTCAAATCTCCCATCATCGACTCACACGACGCAATCAACTGTTAAAACCCCATACTGATAGCTTCATTTATGTTTGCAACGGCTTTGAGATCTTGACTTACTTCTTGTGTCATATTTTAGGTAGTGCGGGATATGCATAGTGTTGCACGTCGTAACGTTGGGTGGCGGTGGTGTTGCATGGGTTAGTTTGGAATTTCCAAGAGTAAGTTGGTTCTGCTTCCCGTATAAAAAGATCACCGGGACTTGATGTAGAATTCTTGGAGCTCATAAAGGCCTAATAAAGTCTATAGCCTATGTGAAATTGTTTTCACAGGACATTGGACTAATTTCCAACTAGGAATGGTGATGGTCTGGAACGGTGGGTTGCTAAGATTGATGGTATCATGAGAAGAGAAACATGGAGTGACAATTTGGAGATTGGAGGGACATAGCTATGTGCTAGAGATTAGGATTGTAATGCCTGTTCATAGACTCCGTTTACATTCATCCATTCGTGTCTTTATATCTCAACCAATGATGCAGCCAAGGTAAACCTGCTGACCCAACATGTTCAGTTATCTAATCGTGCTTTGACTTGAGATGTGCAACAAAACGCTCAGAAGGTCTTGCTCGGAACATTCCCAGATATTTGATTTGATCGGGAGCAATGGTCTAATTGGGGGACAAGCGATGGTCGAGGGAAGGTCTAAATGGAGGCTAAACTAGAAGGATATGATATTTCAACGCTTTGACAAGCGAGGGGGAAAGAATATGAGGTTTCGGATTGAAGTAGTGTGATGTTTCGATAAGACGAAACTCTCTTCACAAGATGGGATTTCCCTACCTGTTATTATTGCTCTTACTTCTGAAATTAGAATTCTCCAATCTGATTCAGATTAGTGCTCGGTAAACTCAGTGATAGGGATGACAGCTAAGGTAGACATCACATCTCATGAGCTTCATGTAAATTCGTCCCAATTCTCTGTGAACTTAGTATCGAAACCCGACTACGGGTATCATTCATTTCACATTAGTCTTGTTCCTCGTTATTTCCTCAATTGGGCGTCAAGGACCCTGCTCTGGATTAACTCTCACTCTAAATTAAGCAAGCGCTTCCCCACATCTATTTTTATCCCCAGTTTCCAACCTCAAATCTTACCTTCCCAAACGCATCACCAATCATTGAATTTCACACATCACGAAATGTCACTCCTCTTCTCACTCTCGGCCAAACAATTCTCTTGCGAACAATAATCCTCAGACAACCACCTACACCGTCAGCCTTTACCATAAAACTAATCTCTCGATGACTTTTGTTGCACATCGCATTCTGTTCGCGAATTTCCTATTGCGTTCAAGGAATGAATGATTGGCTATGATGGACTGAGAGAGGAGCCATAGAATTTATGGACCGAGATAAGCAGCAATATTAATTGGATATGTATCGTCCTGCGAAAGAGGGCCAAAAGTTGGGTCTACCGAATCTGAAATGTACCACGTCATCGAAGCATTTGAACTTTGAAGCCTGCAAGTCTGGTGCTTCAACTATCAATGCACATGGGTGATCTCCCGAAATTCTACCCCCAAATATGGATTCGTATACAAGGGCGATCTTGAGATAGAGCTCCTATTCGTCAATGTATGCGAGGCGCGTATGCACACGGACTTGCAAGCGCCTTATCTGATATATATCTTGAAGGATGTTGGGACTTTGGACGATTGTATCTATACCCAGTTAGACTAGATTACACTGGTGTGTATTGACCAATAAATTGGATGCTCATCTCTCCTTGTATGTAGTGAATCCCTTTTGTTGCGTTCCTTCTTGGAGTCGTCTGTGCTCCTGTTGGTTGTACTGTTGCCTCGAAAACGTCTTGTTGCAGATCTCATCTCCATGCTGGGTTCTCAATCGTTACTTACCTAGCTCGTATTAGGCTTCTGAGTAGATGGTCTTCACTGCGTTAACTCTTGGCTGCTATAGGGCCCGCAATGCTGCACTTGCAAATCTCAACAGCTAGATCACGAAGCTTCCAGAGATAGTCTGTCAGTCCTCTCGGTTCTCTGGCGGTATAAGATTTGGCACAATGTCCTCAGAAATTCATGTCATTTGTTACTCAGTTGCCATCTTACTAGCAGGCATTCCAACCTCGATTTCGTCAATTGGGAAGTTCATCTCTTTGAATATCCCCAGCTAGAATATGGTAAACTCCTTCCTGGTTCTACCTTCAAATGGCCCATAGATCTAACGTACGTCCGTGAGGTCTTTTGATAGATATGGCCTCTGCCGCGGTCCGCAAAAGCACCTCTGCGCAATATCGAAGCCGCAACCGTACCGCATTCGCTTAGAAAGTTCATTGCGCGCCTAATTGCAATTGTGAAATATCTCCACGAGGTCTTCATTCCGGTCTCGGTTCTCCAAAGTACTATATATATGCATGTTCTTACAAGGGAATCCCTAGTAGGTACTCATGTTAGTCTCTATTATCTCTTGGGAATGTATGTAAAGTTATTGATTCTGGCGTTCTAACATTTGCTGCCTGGTCTCCGACCTACAAATCGATCACCACAAGTCTATATATACGCATTAGGTAGAGAGAAGGCCTATGAAAGTATATGGTAGTTTGTGGTCTTCTGCCTCAAAGTGGGTGCATGATATGTATCGAACTTGTCGAGCCATCGCTACTGAAATCTGTGGCTAAGCTAAGGCGTTCGCCTACAGAATATCTTGCTCTGATGCATGTAATGATAGGCGCGCGTCTAGACATATTAGCTGGACGGTCATATTTGAGGAGGCCAAGAGAAGCATTTTGACATAATGGCTTACTATAATTATCCATTTTAGGCCAAAGATGGGTAGCTCCTAACCTTTTCTGAGACCCGAATATAATCATGTTGCATATCTGCATTAGGCAGCGAATGTAGAGTTATAGTCTTTTACAATTAGGGAGGTCAATTCGAGCTTCTATCACCCCTGTCGCCGATGTAGACATGCAACAAATTTTCTTGAGCACTTGAGTGGGAATGGGATCCGCAGCATGTAAGTCTCGGAATGAGAACAATGGGGATAAAGCAAATTGTTCTAAACGATAGCTTTCACGCGATGTTGTTGAAACTTGTAACGAATGCTCTGAAACCGAGTGCTCGAGTCATAGTATTGACTACCTACAGACTGGAAGACAAGTTGCTGTTAGCAAAGTCAATTGCCTTGTGGGAAGGAATGAGACATCAACACATTGCTAGGTGATTGTAGCACTAACTCTAGAATCCTCTGTCCCAAGTAGCACCTAGAGCTACTTATTGGGCGTTCTTTATATATTCAAGACAACTACTTTCTTAACAAGCTGTATGTTAAAGTAGAGATTGGCAAGAAAATACGAATTTTGTTCTATTACAGGTAGGGATTTCGACAAGTGCATAATAACACCCTTGATGAATTTAGATTAGCTAGTTGTAAGTTAAACATGACGCCCATAATTTACACTATCATTATTTTGATGTATTCCTCTGATTAATCCTGACCTGAATTCAGGATTCCGTTTCTGTTCTATGTTCCGATCTCTTTTATGTGCACATCTTTCAGGTGTTATTGGGCTATTTCTACCTTTGCTAAAATACTTCTAAACAAACAGAGCTTTTTACTCACAGGAAGACCCAAGTACATGCAATAAGCTTGGATTTCCCTTTTCTTGAAGATTCTCAAGGTTTCCAGTGTGTAAAAGAAACAGAGAAGTGCGATGAATTCTAAAGTATACTACCAACGCCATACACCTCTCAATAATCCAATCCACCTAGCTTTAGAAATTACATCCCAGTCCAAAGTTTTTTGGTTTGTTTAGTTTGAGGCTTTCAAGAAATCTGGTGGTATTCATTCATTATGATTGAATGAAACAATTCACCACAAAAGCTCATGTGCATCAGCTAATGACATTAGATGATACAATTCAATTTGCAACTCATACATTGCATCACTATACATAATGATTATAACTAATTGAGCTAGGAACTGAGCTAGTTGTTGATCTTGTTCATAGACAGACTTCTAAGTTGACATAAAAGTTTCCCCTCCATCCACATTATCTCAATCTCCAACTCATCTGTCAAAGCAACATCCTTTGATACACTAGGAAAACCTCTGAGATAATTGAGTTCTACGTTATTTTTCAATCCTTTTATCATACTATGATCCTTCTTTTCAACCACCTTTCTTATCTGTTGGTGCAGATACTACCAAAGCAAAAACAAGTCTCGACCCCTGAGACTGTCGGTAAACATGGCAGATGTAAGCAGCACCAATATTCCATCATGTGATTCTGTATTTACATACCTACATTACAGTCTTCCTCACGACAGGCAACCAGTTTGAGAAATAACAGACAAACATCTAGCAACAAGAATCCAGCTCAACTCAAATGCACCGCTTGTGAAGAGTTTCAAGATTTTCAACAAATGGCTAGACTTCCTTGCAAATGTGTATATTGCAGCACCTGCCTCCAAAGACGTTTCGCTTGCGCGATAAAGGCTGAGCACATGTTTCCTGTCACATGCTGCTGGGATACTCTCAATGTCACGCCCTATTATAATCTGTTGTCTCCTGATCTGATTCGCGACTATGAAGCCAAGAAAATCGAATACGAAACCGTGGATCGTACTTACTGCGCCAACAAAGTTTGCTCTGATTTTATCGTCAAGGAAAATATCAGAGGACATAAAGCTTTCTGCGCCAAGTCGCCATGCAATACAATTACATGCACAAAGTGTAAGAGCGAATGGCATGATGGAGAATGTCCTCGCGATCAGAATCAAGAGCTAGTTCTTGCCGAAGCCCAGAGACAAGGCTGGAAACGATGTGCGAAATGTGGTAGCTTGATCGAATTTGTTGATGGATGTCTCCAGATGGAGTAAGTCCTCAATCTTTCCTCTCGTTCTCTGTCGTGCTTCCAAAATCGCACACTAATTCTCACACTCTAGATGTCAATGCGGCTATGAATTCTGCTATTGCTGCGCCGCGGTATGGAAAACTTGTCGATGCAAACAAATTGACCTTGATCGATTACTCAGAGCTACCAATACGTATGCAGATAACGAACGTTTCATGGAGGTCAATGAAGATGGTGAAGGCGGTGATGAGGACGGTGATGAGGATGGTGATGAGGACGGTGATGAGGACGGTGATGAGGACAGTGATGAGGACGGTGATGAGGACGGTGATGAGGACGGTGTTTAAGACAATGGTACATACGCGGATTTACCTAAGGATTCATAAAGATAGAGTCGATATTACGAATAGTATCATAGAGACACAATCTGCTGTGGTTCATCGGGATGAGATGAATGATGATAGGGTTTGATGAACGGTACCTGGAGTTGTGGGGAGTTGCATATCGGGTTTGAGCGTTGGCTGTGATTCTAGAGTCACATTTATGGAGTGGACATAGTAGTTTGAGAGTTCTGGGTTTGTGATTCATGGAATGGTTTGCGGGCAGTGGTTCGGGCGAGCAGCTCTAGTAATTCAGCGGGAAGGGTTCGGAGTTTGGATTTTCTTTGCATCTTGTTTCCCATATCTAGTTCTTAGAATGCTATCGGTCAAGTAGTTTACTGGTATAAATGCAAAGTACTGGATCATTCAAACATGCTCGCGTGAATAGGCACTCTCTCAGGTGGAAAGGCAAAATCATTGTTCATATTTTTAACGGATAGCCGTAATCTTGACAACAAAAATAAAAAATCTGACTAACTAAACGTTTCCTAAGTAAAGCTATCTTGACAGGTGTAAGAATATGTAGCAAAGGATATTCCGGATGAAAGCTCGAGTTTGAGGGGAAGGTACTCGGGAGATTTCGAAAGCATGACTACTGTCCAACTCAATATATCTGGCACAGACTCGAATGATTTTCAGAAGCTTTTTTTATAGGTGTTATTTGTCTATAAGACGAAAACCCAGGCGAAGAAAGAATCTCACCTTGACGTTGAAATAGTGGATACGTATAATAAAATGACCGTGAACCTTCGACCCCAACCGGCACTTAATTATACAGTATCGCAGAGCAGGTGTGTTGGTGATAGCAAGAGCTTGGACGATGTGAATTTGTAAGACGTGCACCATAGGTTTGTCTGAATGCCAAGTTTCAAGTGTATTTAGTTGTGTGGAAATATTGAACTATTGAAGATGGATGGGTAAAAGGGTCTTTCGGGAGTTCGAAAGTTCAAGAGTTCGAGATCATGGTCGTTCAGATATGACGCGCGTATAGAGGAAAACTGTCGAACCATACGAGCATCTTGCGCATGAGAGTTGAGATCTATGCCATGCGGTGGCAATGATAGGGTCTCAAAGGTTGAGGATTACTACTTTGTCGACGTAAAAAGCATGGAGGACTTCGCAGACATGAGCGCATCGATGGTATCGTGTAATAGATATGTAATGAGCAGATAAATACTAAAGTTCTTTAGCTTCGAAATCATTTGGGCTATCACATAACTGGGTCTCTGTCGGCTTGAAAGAGAAAAGTATATCTGCTGTCATGCTTTCATGCATACCTGGAATCAAAAAGAAATGAAGTCCAAAGACTTTGTTGCTGGCGCAGGTTCAGCGCCAAAGAAAAAGAAGTTTGTAGGTGATAGATTGGAACAATAGGGCGTAAATGCTGAAATTTTGCACATGAGAGGAGTAGAGAAGATTCGTCCTGCAAGATTTCAATAAGGCAAATCTGTGATGCTATGATGCGAGCAAAGGTAAAGATTGATTGCGCAGCCTCGCGCTGATGATAAAACATGTTCTTGCTTGATACGAGTGTCGTACATCTCAGTTCCTTACTAACATACCGTCGGTATGGAATTAAAAAGCGTTGTCAAATAAGCAAATAATTGATAGATTGAAAATATCCGAGTAAATTTCCTGTTTTGGATCAACAACTTCAGAACAAAAGTGGGTCGATGGGTAGGAAAGAGTGAGAGAAATGAGCAAAAAAAAGCAAAAGGATAGGTAGAGAGGTACGTGCAGTTAGTTCAACAATATAGATGAACGCTGTGTACCTAAGCCACGAGGGGACCTCGAAGCTGTCGGAGAGGACGGCCAGTTGAGTTTAACAATATAGATAAACGCTGTGCCCTCAAGCAGATGGATCAGACCATTCCGCTAAACTGTCCGAAGACGAAGGAGACAGCACTATTGGGAAATAAGTATACCAGATTGGGTCCCAGTTGATGTTAGCTCAGTCTGCAATCTTGATATTCACTTCACAACGTTCACCGGCGATGTCCCTTATTGGCTTCATGACAAAGACGCGTCGCTGATAAACGATATGAGGCCGCCGTATAAAGTCGCGTGAAAGAATTGAGCTTTCAAATCTCGTGATGTCAACCATAACGATTTGCTTACCAATTTTAACCGTACCACATCCCCTCACCATTCGACCACATCAAAATGAACACTGCAGTTAGTGATTTTTATTCTCTATGCCGCCAGATGGGCCACCCTCCTCCGACGTTTATCAAGCTCAACAACCAGCCAAAGAACCGCGTTGCCCTAGTGGTAACAGTATATGGCCAGCAAATTGTCTCCTCGCGTCCAGAAAGCACCTACAAGGCAGCCAAGACTGCTTTGGCTAGAAAGGCTACACATTATCTCAGTGGTAGTCAGACTACTATGCCACAAATTGTATTTGATGCTGTATGTTTAATTATTCATGTGAGCCATCGGCTCTAGCTAAATCGATGAATAGGGCAATGCAATTTTCGGAAACAATGGGCAAAGCATCAGTAATGCAAGCGCCTTACAACATCAAGCGGCCAATTTGGCTGTAAGTGGACCACGATACCAATTCTCACGTATCACCGATAAACTGATGGCAAAACGGCCGGCCTCTCACAACGCCCTCAGCACCGATGACCAATTATATCTCGAAAAGCACTTCAGACGTCAAATAGTAAGTCAGCTGGGCAGAGCTACTGGTGTTCAGGTGACAGCAGCGGCCGACCTCATGGCTGATATCATTCTGAGGCGACCTGAAGGACAAACAACGGAGTGGCATGGAGCGATGAGGGTCTTCACGGAGAGATTGGCCCAAAGACTGAACGAGGGCAGTGGCTAGAAGGTGATATATGTTTCTAGCCTTGGCTGTCTAGATGTGTAAATCACGGGGATGTAAAATTGGAAATAGCCAATAATCTGCAAATTATTGGGAAGTATTTGAATCTGAACATTCACCAATTTAACTCCTGGAGTGAGAATTTACAGAAGGTGAATCAAGCCAATTCATTTTGGTATTGTCTTTATTCTCAAGCGAGAACAGCCGATCTAACTACCAACGACGGTTCAACTGTGTGGTCTATGTATTAGAACTCTTTCAATATTCAGTCTATACTTCATGCTCGATACTAGATGGCACTAGCTAGTTCTAGGCTCTCAAGCACAATTTCGTTCCTTTCAAGCTTGGATTCGCAACATGGTAATGATCTTTCTTTGTTACTGTTCTCAATAATGCACTTTCTTAACTTCAACCACTGGGTCGCAATTATATATTACCCAGCCTCGATTTTTGCTACTATTATTTCTCAGCCTGGTATCTCAGATAGAACGAGTCTATTGTCTAACCTCTCCCTTTCTTGATGTCACTTCTTAGCTTCGACTTCTAGCCCGCAGTGACATATGTTCAGCTTCAGCTTCAAACATTACTTTTGCTGGTTCTATCGAGCTTTCTATTAACTGATTAATATAGAGAGCCAATACTCAGCTTCTACGTTCCATAAGTCTCCTCTCGGCTTCGGGCTTTAGATATGGATCTGTTTCTCAGGTTCAGCTTTCGATTCAAAAAAGCAAATGATTTAACCTTCATGCTGTTCTTTCAATGCTTCTTCAACCTTTGAACAACTACGATCTCTCTTTACATTCCTCCCTTGCTTCTATCTCTTCTTGACTCTACGGTGATCGAGCAGCTTGTCTTGTTGTGTCATGAATCACGTGTCTACTACACACGTGATTGTACTCTTCATGGATGTAATCCAGTGCACTGCTCACCATTCGATCTAGCCCAGATCTACAGCCTAGTTTCAACAGCGAAGATAATGTCTACATGTGCTGCTATCTTAGCATAACATGAACGATTGTGCACAACCCCCCCCCCCCCCCCCCCCCCGTCTTTTGAAGCACTATGAAAGAAGGACGTCGGCATAGGCTGCCATGATAAGAATAATTACTCATACGATTGCGTGCCCCTTTCTTCATTCCAAATCTGTGTTTGTCTTGCGTTGCCATGCCAGTGTATAGGACGCGCAATAACTCAGCATCAAAGCTTCTCCAGCCCCCTTTCAATATTTCCCCATGCACGTAACCAACTCAGCTGCAAACTCCTGCAAAGGTCCATATTTCTCATTAAAAAGGAGTCCTTCGTCTAAAACATCTGCAGTGCCTGCACATATGCAACGAGGTATTTCGTCTTCCTTGACGTTTCAGATACCAACAGTATAGATACCAGCCCTCCACTTTCCAATAACATGAACTCTCATGTTGAAGGTCGAAGGATTTTGATACTCCACTCCCCATCTCCCCGCGACCACTTGAATCCTCCTCCCTCCTTTATCGGAAGGTCGGAGACATGTCATATCATGATCATTAGTGATAATCCGATCACATGCATCATCTCGCACCTAGACTGCCAGGTTTTTCGGATTCGCAATCTGTCGATCGCGGACATCCTACGCTTCTTATCCATTCTTCATCCCTTGATCGTACATCTCCGTGGCAAAAAGATCTCTTCAGCATCCAATGATTGAAGCTGGAAAGGGGCGATCCTATGAATATCTATGCCTCGGTTACTATCCGACATGTACCTCAATCTATGGACTTTTGATCGTTGACGCCGTTGACGCCTTAATCTGATGGATCTACAAAACATCGTTAACCGAAGCAAAAGGCAGCAACCACTAACAAGTCTTGAATTCCTCGCTTCAATATCCTATGGCCGCCCTTACCTTTTTGCTAAAAGGCATCTTCAATCCTCACCCCACCGGCCGTACGGCATGACCCCGGTCCCATTACACACCCAATCACAATACATTAAATCTTGCATTTGTCTCTCTGCATTTCGTCCGGCACTTGCTTCAATCCAGACTCCACCGGACTTTGCGTCCCCGCCCACTTAGTAATATTCCCAGTCCGCTCCGCCCCACCACAAAACCCTGGTTCTGAGACTCGGGCCACCAACCAACCACTGAGCAGATCCAAAATTAACCTTTGCATGATCCCCTGTCCCTGTCGCTCAGGTCACACTATCTGGCCTCTTTCCAGGTAAATCTCCTCGCGTGCAGACTCGCTGCAGTTGCTTTGTTTGCCTTATGGACGGTGGAGCTAATTTCTTAGTGCGCTTCCAAGGACCAGGATGGCAGGTTCATTGATCATGCGACTACCATGCGCTATTAAAATCCCAACCACAGAGAGAATTTCCACTAGCACATGCCATGATACAACCTACAGACAGACCTTATGTTACACTAGAGTACCGGCCCTGGGTCAATGTTTTATCGACCCTCCATGGTTGGCGCTTAACGCTTTGACACTTTATGTTTGTAAATGTCGTTCAGCATGAAGAAAAAAGACCCTTAATTTATGTCAAACTCTAACACTCGAAGAACCCTGAGTCTTGAAGTGCTGAAGTGCGAAATAAGGAAGTTGTGAAGTAAAATCGATTACGCTAAGGTTAAAGATGATGCCCAAGCTAAGCGAGAAAGCAAGTAAGGATTTTCATCAAAAATCTATGGGGCGGAAAAACAATTCCCGATACAGATCCACAAGCACATGCGTGTGCTCCAAGAGGACGCAAAGGATCCTTATTGTTCTAGAAAAGGAATGGAAGGGAGGAAAAGCCCTAGAGGCTAGGGCAAACCTAGCTAAAACTTCACTTGTAGGAGGAATAGATCAAGGCTAACCCAAGTAACCTTTTCTTCAAAATACTTCAATTGACCACTCGCAACAGCTCGTTTGCTTACGATTCTGCATGCATGTTCCTTTCAAACAAGACAAACTACTGTACTCCTTCTCCTCGCGTGCGCCAAGTGTCTCAATTTCTTCTGGAAGGTCGCATGGAAGGCCGCATGTCGTGCTGAACATGTGCTCGTTCCTTCGTCTCTTTTGTATATGTACATATCCTATTAATTTCTTCACACCGCCTCTTTATTTCCACAGCTCCTCATGTACGATTACTCTTACATTTTGGAAGTTGGAACGATATCAATGCATCAGTGCATTAAGATTGGGATCAGGATTCACACAAGCAAGGCAAGCTCCATCCAACATTTCTTGCGAGAAATAGCAAGGAAATGCCACGCGAGGAAATATTTCATAATGGATCTACTCCATCACCTACAGATAAATTGCAGCATGGAAGTTCACCTGTGATGAGCACCAGTAATATGCAATGCAATGTAATGTCATGTCATGTACGGCGATATATGCACATGCCTGCAGGTGATATAAATCTCGTAACGTAACAAAGATCATTTTGGGATATCCATCGCCAATCTCCAGCCCAAACAATAAAAATTTCAGCATTGCGTAGCCTGCGCAACGGAAACCATAAACAAACGTCGTAAATTACCTATAACTTAAGATTTACATGAGATTCATTACCAGCACCAATGCTCCATTTTAAAAGATACTTGCCAGGGATGTTAGTCACAAGATCGGAGAGTTCCGCTCTGTGCGCCAGCGGTTCATTACTCAATCCTAACTTTATACACTGGATCTGCTCATCTTAGCCTGCCTGCTCGAGCATGTCTGCTACCGAATATTCCTGCTGGTATTGTCTACCGAAACGCCTTTACCGAAACTAATCGTCTACAACTTCCTCGTTTGGCAGTGGACGGTTCGGGGTTTAGGAGTTAATGATCCAAATCGTGTGCAAAGGAAGTTCGGCTATAGCACTCACTAGTTCTTGTGGGCATATAATCAAAATGAACCACAACCGTTGAATTTCCAATCTTACCTAGTAGCTTACGGGACGAGAGGTAAGAAATTAGACTCTAGAATATGTGTCCGGAATCCGGAATGAGAATTATGAAAAAGAAGCGATACATTTACATTTTGAGCCCGTTTTGTGGGAATTTGCCGTCGTTTTTTTGAGGGTATTTCCCGAGACGGAATTTGGTTTAGACTCTTTGCATGTGTTTTATAAGGATCGTTTCGGGCCGTCCGATGACATCAATTACATAAATGGTCTCGGAAAGCCATCTGTTTTCGAGAGTGCGGCGTGGATTTCCACGTGTGATTTGGGGTCTACCGAAGTGGCAGTTCAGCGCGGTAATGAACCAAGCCTCTGGTGTGACAATTCACGAATGGTGTGTATATTGGATTCAAAGAACTAACGGAGATTGGATGTGAATACGAATCGAGTGGAAGAGAGAGACTCGAAGAGGAAGTGCACGAAGGCTATTCGACACTTTAGTGTTATGTTATAAGATTTAAACATCTTTATTAATACGAACGCACAATAATCTTCCACGCCCAAGCCAGCTCGCAGTATTTCAACACGACTGGGTACTTGGATATATCCATAAGATGCCGAATAAAACATTCAATGCAGGGTCCTGCACCATACCAGGGGTTTCCTTTCATCTCTCTCCAACAACTCACTCGTCATCCATTTAGCATCGCTCCCAAAAGAGAAATGCAAACTTATGAGCGGAGTTCAGGATTCCACTCCTCTCCTCTCCTCTCCATCATGGAAGATCTTTCTTCCATGCTTTTACTGCCTCTACCCGGGCACACACATCCCACCTTTAATACCTCAACTACCGCCGCACAGGTTTTAACTTTCCAGCATGGACCAAACGTTGAACGCTCAAACTCAAAATATCAAGCTCTCTCCCAAAGATCCACTCTTTCATGTATTACTACAAGACCTTGGAAAAGTCAAATACAGCAAAACCTCTCTATAAGGATCCCCCTTATAAGGATAACCTCTCTATAAGGATATATTTTTCGGTCCCAAAAAAATTTAGGCCTAAAAATGGCCTGTATTCTTAAAACCCTTCTATTAGGATATCCTTATATTTTTCGGTCCTAGGATCACGTGTGTATCCTTATTGAACCAATAGA